AGTGGAGTACAAGTTGCCGTACCCACATGCTCCTCCTGCAAATCAATGATCATTCGATAAGATTTAGTCCTTTGCTTCTTCGATTCGTTATGTTAGGGTAAACATATAAACGTATTATTGGTAGAATTGAATGATTTGTGCATCAATATAAATTTAAATGAAAAAAACTTGACATACCCATAGTTCCAGAAGCATCACTACCGCCGTAGAAAGTGGCATGAGCCTTTTGCCATCCAGAAGCCACAAAAGCATCAACATTAATGTTTAGGATACATAATCCTAGAAAAACAGTTGAAATGGCTAAGGCGGATTTGTTCATTTTCATGTTTCTCACTAAAAAACAGAGGAATGAAGAGGATTTAGCTAATTTTAGAAAGAATAATTTATGGAAAAGAGGATGTTGTATTTGCTGAAGTAAATGTTGGGAGTAATGCTTCCTTTTATAAGCAAGGGATTAGGCGTTTGTACGTGTAGTTGTAGGCCTTTAGTCCTTTACAAGTTAGCAACCACCTCACATGGAAAGTATATTATTGAGGTACGTAGGAGAGATGACAACACAAATATTAAATTTTATTATAATAATGTTTTTTAGTTATATAAAAAAAAGATAAACTTGGAGAGTTTGAAAATTTGGGAAGAAGTAAATCCCCTATTTAGGGTATGTATCTTCCAAAGGTAGTTTAATCCAGTGATTCAAGTTAGCATTTCAAATGAGTCGTATCTTTCTTACGAAGTAAAAGATTTTCTAATGTTTAAAACAATTCATTTAGACCAACAAAATGTAATTATCAATAAGAATTTTTTTTTTTTTTTTTTTTTTTTTTTTTTTTTTTTTTTTGGCGTATTGTCTTACTTAATAAGGTTGGGGTGTGTAAGGAGGGGAACAAAGAAATAAGAAAAAGTGCAGCTACTAAGCCTACTACTGAACGGAGGAAATACAATACAAAATATTTCTAAAATGAATGTGATGAACCTATGAAATGAAAGCAATACACTTTAGAAAAAGAAGGTTAATATAGCCTAATAAATGCCTAATCCTAAAACGTAACGTTTTCGGATCAATATGCATGTGGTCATGTTTGGGTATGTTATGTTGCGGTTTTGAAGGCCGCTTCTCATGCTCTTAATTTCCATTATCAAACTTGTTAACTAGCATATTTAGTTTATGCATTGAATGCTCTTAAATTCCATTATCAAACTTGTAAACTAGCGTATAGTTTATGCATTGATACGTTTTGCATCATATCGTACCAAATAATTTCAATAAGTTTATCTAACTTGTACCAACTTCCCTTATCATTCCTAAAATTCCGGTGAGTTCTGAGGTGCAATAATTGATAATAAGAAAACGATTAATGATTATCAACTCTGTAATATAAATATATAATGGATTGGTGTTAATAATTATGAAGCTAATTAAGATAGCTTGCTAGAAAATTCAGTCACCAATGACCTAATCAATATGCATCATAGCATATTAGCATGTGCTAATTATATGCGGATGTTGAGCCTTGGAAGTTAATTAAATTAACAAGCTTCAACTATATCTCTCTTTACAATGCAAGTAATAAGCATTATGGTTTACGGACACAAGTACAAATATGATCTAATTTGAATAACTATTTATAACTTTATTCATATCAATGAAATGAAAATATTCACCGTATACCCCCATTGGCCCCATATATACTTTGTATTAAGAGGCACATCGAGATAAATAGTTTTGATTGTACCATGCACAATGTATAATTGGTGATAATTGAAAATAGTTTATCATCTCCTAGCCTACTTTTATAAACTTTTCTAGAAAAGTTTGGTCAAATCCTTACGGTTTTAAATATTTTGTTTTCAAAAACCATTATTGGACCTTACTAATATAAGTATTATCTAGACATCTAGTAGGTTAGTTGGCATTCTTGGCAACATGACCCTGTGTAAATTGCCAAGCTTATGATCAACGGAATTAAAAAAATGCAAGTCACACTAAATATAGTAATCTAACATTGATCAACTATATTGCCCCATTATACGCACGATTTTTCGCCCTAAAATTCAACATCCGTATGTTAGTTAACACCATAAAGTACGTATAAAAGTACTAGTTGGTGCTTCATCATTGGCTTTTAACTAACAAACTAGTTTGTGGCTTGGGTGATGTCCAGAGTTTTATTTAAAATACAAAATGAAAAAATTACTTTAATTTTAAATAAAATTTAGAAAACATTACATTAGTTTAAAATAAAATTTAAAAAAAGGAAAATAAAAAATGGGAATAGAAAGAGAGATGTAGTAGTATACTTATAAATGTTACCGTCTAATTGCTAAGCTAGTATTGAATCTAGAAAATTAGCATCCAAGGAATCAACAACCATTAGTATGTGATTAATTTGTTACAAATTAATTTGTAGTTAATTGTGCAACTACTTAGAGGTTATATTATTCTAGGAAATATTAAGTATGAAGGTTACACATATCAAGAGTTTTAGAGTGATGACACAAATTGTGACATGTAAGGATGACACGTAATGATGATGTGGCGCCAAATCATATCGAGGAAATTGTGACACATGTTGTTAGCATCTTGTTCCATTGTGTTTTAATAATATTATAGATACTTGGTAATAATTATGTAAGGTCAAACGTATGATAATAATGTATTTGTACATAATAATGTCAATTGGGTGGATGATTATCTCTTCGTTCCCTTTGACTATTCATTCATTTGTTAATAGCTTAAGATCTATTTATATATCCGACTTTTTTATTGATCGAGTGAATCGCCCACCTTTTCTTCCCTTCTTTTTAACAACTAACAATAATGTATTTTGGCCTTCATGAAGGTTGACCTTATTAATTGTTAGCATATCCGTACATCTCATTCATTCATGGTTCTCATCTCAAAATAAGGTGGAAAGTAAAAATGTAAAATAGAAGTGTCAACAACTCAACACCCAAATATAGTAGTGGGCTAGGAACACAGCCATAATATATAATGAAGTATGAGGCTTAGCATTCAAAATTGGATTTTTGGAGGCCCATAAGTCTTGATCGCTTTTCTTTTTATTTAGGGATCGTTTGGTTGAATCATTTGAAATGAATTATAATGGAGTTAGAATCCATATTATCTACTTTTTTGTTTGGTTGATATTTTTAGTAATGGAATCTCATACCCAAGGGATTTTAATTCCCCCTCATACCCATGGAATCTCATACCCACCCCTCCCCCTAAGATTCACAATCCACTCTATTAATGAAGGATATAATCCATTCCAATTATAAAACCAAACAACTTTGGACTAGTATGGGTTTTAGAATCCATACCTCTTAAGTATGAGATTTCATACCACTCCATTCAAACTTGATGAACCAAACACCCCCTTACTGTATTAGATATATATATATATATATATATATATATATATATATATATATATATATATATATATATATATATATATATATATATATATATATATATATATATCTTTACTATATAAGTGTGTTTTTTTCTTCTTCTTTTTTTTTTGGTGTTTAGAGAGCCACAAGGGCGGAGGTGAGAATCGATCCCATAATCTCTTGAAAACGGGAGAGAAGCACTAACTACTTGAGCTATCCCTCACTCTCCTCTACTATATAAGTTAAGTCTAGAGAACTTTGATATACATCTTGATTATCTAATCTTCCTTACTTTTAATATACTCACTTGTGTTAAGCGATAAATCAGCCAAAAATAGTTGTTTAGAAAATTTAATAAATATATTTATAACTATTATTTTTATTTATTAGAAATTAGGCTTGAATTGATGTATGATTTGGACTTAAATGATACTTTTATAGAGAGTACAGGTTCCGCTTCTAAATATTTGAGAACCTGAATCGGAACCTTTTACAACAGGTTTTTCATTTTAGTACCCGGAATCAAAACCACTTGTACATGTTCTGGTTCTGGAATCTGCGGTTAGGGTTGTTCATCGGTCCAAGACCGAACCAGACCGAAAACCAAAAATTAGAATTTCAAGAACCGAAAACCAGACCAATTAATCTGGGACCGAACCCGAACCAGATCGGAAAAACTGGTCCAAAACCCAGACCGTACGGCTTTGGACCGATTTTAGAATTTTTTTTTTTTAAAAAATCTAACTTTTTAATAGTTTTATGGAAAAGTCAAAAAATAAAAGTGAAACAATATTATATCGTCTTTTTATGTATGATTAGTACAAAAAAGCTCAGACAATTAAATTTTTCTAAGCATATTAAGGATAATCTTAATCATTATTTATGGTTTTATGGATAATTTTAAGCAAAAAATCGGTCCGATCCAAAACCAATATTTATAGGGTTTTGGAACGAACCGAACTGAAAATCGGAAAATCAAATTTCTAAACCCAGTGACCGGACCAATTAATTCGGTCCGATCTGAGGTCGGTCCGGTCCATTTTTTAGGTTCGGACCGATTTTTAAACACCCTAGGTTCAACTTTTGTAGCAATTAAAAGGAAGCGGAGGTAGTATTATAAAATTTTCGCTTTAGTTACCACTCTAGCTGTATCTCAATTTCAGTGTGCTTACCTTGTTCAAGGCTACACAGAGACTTTCACAAAATGACGTAACTTGGTGGGCTCGTTGTACGTAATTTCATGTGCACTTCTTCGTCCAAATGTGGACTCATGAAGTAATGAGGTAATTTTATGTGACCACATCAGGCGACTTTTATGTTATGTTCTGTTGCTGTTGTCACCAACAATATCTCTATCTCCTAAATCACTAGTAGGCTGTGCAACGCCGATTGCTTTGTCGCATCCATTCATCTTTTACTTCGTATTTTTCTAACATCACCAACATCATCATTCACAAGTATTGTGGAAAGTGAGATCGTAATTAATTTCCTCTGTTTGGGGTTTTCCCAACGATCAAGTCCTAATAATGAATACAACAAATCATGGACATAATTAAGCAATTAAAGAACAAAATAAAATGAGAAAGTCCAATTATGCACAATTTTGTAAAAGGTGTATTATTCCAATATATATTGCATTATGTTAGACAAGAACTTAAATTCAGGATCATTAGAATTTTAACTAACTAAATACACACATTTTGTATATGAAGAAAGCAGCATAGTAGTTAATAGTCACTTGAATTGCTTGATTAAGCCAGCTTATATTACAAAGTGATATGTTATGGATTTTTGGCGGGTTGCTTCAGTGGGATAAAAACCAATGAGCATACCTCTGCCTATAATTATTCACTAAATGTACAGCAACCACATATTGTGTAATGTTACTTGAATTGTATACTACTCATAAATGTCTGTCCAAATCTCCAATTAGCAGGAACAATGTTGTTAAATGTTTGGGTTTGGCCATCAGTACTAGTGACTCTGAAGGACAGTGATTGTCCATTAAGATAAGCCAATGACTGCCAGTTAGCCCCCCAGTTTCGAGACATCGCCATCCAGTTGGTTTTCGATCCCTTTATCGAAACTGATTTGATTGATCCCGCTCCACCTACATTGGTGAGCAATACAAGCTCAAAGTAGTCCCTTCCGTTAATAGTAAACCTCACTCCTCCTTGCTTTATGCAGGGAACCCTGAATAAAATGAGAAAGTATTCAATATTAGAACTTTATTTATAACCCCCAACATACCATAAAATACATGCAATTATGTGTTAAATCTATGAGCAAATGTTCTTAAATTAATTACCTTTGGAAAATGACAGGAATGATTCCGCCTCTGTAAATGCCTATCTTCTCCCAGATAGGTTGCGACATGTCAAAATGTTGGCGAGGAGGGTTACACCAACCTCCAGCATCACTTGGTAATGCATAGTTCGGAGGGCAGAAGTTAGTCGCGGTAATAGTGACTGAAACTCCCTTCCGGCACCACCTGGGATCCGTCTTATAGTCACACATGATCCTGTAGCATTGCCCACATGCAGCACCATCATTGAACAATGCAGTACTTAGGGCTGCGGTGCTAGTCCCATAGCCAGTGGAATACAAGTTTCCGTACCCACAAGCTCCTCCTGCATAAAAATAATAATAATAATAATAATTCAGCCCTATGTTGTTTCGATTTATTATGTCATAATAAACAAAATCCATAAAAACCAAAGTGAATGATATCTACATCGAGTGACTAGAAACATAGATTTAAAAACATACCCATAGTTCCAGTAGCATCACTACCGCCGTAGAAAGTGGCAGAAGCCTTTTGCCATCCAGAAGTCACAAAAGCATTAACATTAACGTTTAGGAAACATAATCCTAGAAAAACAGTACCTAAGGCGGCTTTGTTCATTTTTGTTTATTTCTCACTAAAAAGAAAGCAGAGGAATGAAGAGGAAGTATTGTTTGTAAAAGAGGATGTTGCTGAATTTGCTCAACTAAATGTTGGAGTAATGCTTCCTATTTATAAGTAAGGAGTAGGCGTGTAGCTCTATTGTTTTTAGCACTTTGAAAGTTTGCAACAACCTCACATGGGAAGTGTATACAGGCATGTAGGAGAGAGAGCAAAAATTAATGGAGTTTCTATTTTTATTTATTTTTTAATAAAAACTAGAAAGTTAAAAATAATTGTCAAGTATTATTTCCAAATTTGCGGTTTCTTCCCTTGATGGTCTTGCATGTTGGTTATATTTGTAAATATTACAAGTTTTAAGTGGTGTTAGGTGACTTCTAAGTTGTTTTATCATAGACTTCACTAGTGCTGTCAGTTTTCGACCCGATCTTCTCTATAAATCATTCTAATTTAAACCCATTCATATTATTATTATTTTTTTTGACAAGAAACTCACTCGTATTATTGAAGTTTGAAATTAATGGTTGATCCAACTTGATTTTATTGAAGCTGAAATTTCGAAACCAAACATGTTGATTGAATTGTTTTATATAAGACATATAAATATAGAAGACCCATCTCAAAATCATCCAAGCCAAATATTGACCTAAATTGTTTCAACATGAGTAAAACACATGTCACTTGCATGATTCGTGATCCATTCACAACACCTGTCTTGAATTACCATATTCATTTTGATGCCATAAAATGTTGAACCCAACCAATCTAAATTTGTAACTTATTTACTTAGCCCGTTGACCGTGTTTGGCACAATGACACTTGAAAATGAGCTATATTGTTTAGGAGGCTGAAGTTTCTTTAATATATTTAAATTTTAAAGTTAAGATGATTTAGATAGTTTAATACAAAAAATTTCACCACCTGACTGTGAGTGTTTGAGTATGTGCTCTCTAATTAAGGTGCAAAAAATTCACAAGGAAATTGAAGGAGAGGAGAGTGTAGACACCATATGAGGAAGATGAGATCAACGAAAAAAACTAGCTAATTATGACAATAAAAGAAGTTACGAAATAATATTATAAATTGATTCATTATTACGACGAGTTACATTTTTACCATCTAATCAATATTTTTGGATCAAGATTAGCTTCAAGAATAAATTTTTATATTAAATATTTTATAAAAGTACGTAATACAACAAGCTAAGTATACTGTTGTGCCACAACGTATTTCTAGATCACACAAAAATCACGTAACTATCACGAGCCTAAAGGTTATCCCTTATCTAGAAGTATTGCCTAATTCTAAAATGAAAGGTCATTTAGATCCCAAGACTAAAATCTCTACGACAATATACATGTGCTCATGTTATGCTGCGCATTTGAAGGCTGCCTTCTAATGAATCAGAAATTCCATTATCAAATTTAAGTCTACGTTAGCAACCACAATGTCGTATCTATCTTTTTTGAATACTCCGTACTTTAAAGTACCAATTACTTGTATCATTTTATGCATTGATACGTCCTTTAACTTATATAAACTAGAGTTTATCAACTAATAACTGCCCTATCATTCCTATTATTCCGTTGAATACTGATATATTTATTATGGGATAAAATTAAGAAAATGAACAATAATACAATATTGATGTTGATGATTATGAAGTTAATAATTAAGATAGCCGTCTCTAATATTTAGTCAGCAATGACCTAACGAACCAATATGCCATGTGCTAATTTTAAGTGGATGTTGAGTCTTATAAATTAATTAAATTAGCAAGCTTCAACTTTATCGCTTTCATTGCAAGTAACAAAGCATTACGGACAGGTACAGAGGTACAATTATAATCCAATTTGTATGATACAGGAGTAGTCTACTACGAAGTAGTATGTAATCATTTACTCACATTAATGATCCATGTTAACGTGACACACTTTGTAATAATATAGACAAATCAATCGAAAACAAAATTATCGTTCATTGTCTACTCATTCTCCTTATATTTCTTTACATTATGGTTTTAATTCCCTTTACATTATCTTAACCCTTTATCTGAATTTTTTAGTCTTATCGTTTTACGTTAACTCGATTAGGAAAACAACATGATTTTACAAAATCGATCGGCTTTGATAAGAGTACCTAACTTCATAATACAAACTTTTAAATAGACATGATTTACATTAATTTATTGTCGAGCATTAATATTAGAGACACTATGGCCGTTTTGCTAATAAAAAAAAGGTCATTGTGTTAAACTAAAGGTTATTTGTTAAATAAAAGTCATTGTACTATTATAAAGGTCATTTAAAGTAAATTTTTTTTAATGAAATTAATGTTTTAATATAGTGGTCAATATGAATAATTAATTAAGGTCATTATGTTAAAAGTAGGGTCACTATACTCAACATAACGTCGGTGAACACGTGTGCACTTCAGGTTTACACTAATGTCACACAAGTTTAATAAAGGCCACAATGTTAAAATTAAGGTCATTATGAACTTAACGTCAGTTGTGCGCGTATGACCTCAGGTCCACAATAATATTATTGTGAACTTGGTCGATACAAGTTTTTTCCAGTTCATAAAATAAGTCTTAAGTAAGTCTAATAAATTCAGATAAGTTCATGTATATTCATATAACTTTAAATAAGATAAGATATATTTAGAAAAATAAAAATCAAATGAATAGAATATACTCTATATAAAAACATTTTCAAATTGTAAGTATGCCGGTACAAAATAAAAGCAGGGTTCACTAAGGCCCCTACCTCTATGCGGAAACAGATCAGAATTCAAAGGATTCGAACATATGGTTTTTATTATCTTTATTCGATTCAAAATCCACAACTATACTAATTAAACATTGATACCTATCAACTTCGTTCACAAATATTATACGTGCAAAGTTAGTTGACTGCTTGACATTTAATTTGGTTGTATGTAAATTGTCAAATTTATGATCAACAGTTAATTAATTAAAACAGTTGCTAGTGCTCATATTGACCACCTATAATCCCCCATTATAAGCATGATTTTTCGTGCTTAAATTCAACATCCGCAGCATTATTACTTTAATCAAAGGAAAACCAATCAAATACGTACAAAAGTACAATACTGAAATTGATGCTTCATCATTGGCTTTAATCTAACAACAAAGAGTAACAAGTAACAACCAAGTGGTGAGGTCAAACGTATGTCGATAACTTATTTGTAGTTTTTAATAATAGTGTTTATTGATTGAATAATTATCACTTCCCTATGACTTTTTATTGATTGATTTAATATAGTTTGAGGTCCATTATCCAACTTGTTAATTATGAATTGCCCACCTTTTTTTCCCTTGCAACAAAAGATGGTGCCAAATAATGACACTCTAGATTTAGTTTTATCGTGACATTGATCACAAAGCAACAGAGAAGGACTTTCCACCAAAGCTATTAGGGGCATATATGGCATCATAGGTTCCACATAAACGGATACTGACACGGATATTGGTACAAAATGGATACGGGAAAACATCTATCTCAAAATAAGAGACACGGGTACGGAATGTTAAAATTCATTATATATATATATATATATATTTTAAAAAAAAAAAAATCTGACCATATATTTGTCATTCTGTCCTCTCATTAGATCATGATGTATCATATTAACAATGAACTTTATATAAAGATACCCATATTATTTAACAATTACCTTATTTATCTTACTTTACTTAAATTTACAATTCATATCATAGTAGAATACGGCCCGTGACGTATTGTCGTGTGTCCCACAAGTGTCGGTGTTTGACACGCTGTCCGACACGGACACGAAAGTTGGATGAAGTGTCCATGTATCCTAGATGGCACCTGATTTTTGATCAATTATTGATTATTAGTTATTAAACTTAAATAAACCTAGTAGTATTTCAATTTATAAGATGTTGCCGCGCAGAAATCCCAAATACCCTTACAATTTTTTGGACCCTTATCCGCTACTACAAAGCAAGACATTTTGGCCTTTCATTGATTGTGAGGGTTAATAACCTTATAATCAAGGATAGAGGTTGAGTTATTATTAGCTAGGCAAGATATTGAGGGCATTTTTGTTCACATTTTTTTCACTTATTTTAAGTCTAATAAGTTTAGAAAAGTTCAGTTCAGGAAAAATAAGTTCCAATAAGGGTTGGTCAAGTTCAAATTACAACTAAAATAAGTTTTAATACAGTCTAATAAGTTCAGATAAGTTCAGATTAGTAAAAAATCAGGTAAAATAGTAGGTTTTGATTTTTTGCTTTGGTTATGTGTCAAGAGTGATGGGATTAGCGTAGCTCATTAACATTTATTAAACTGGCTATGTAATTATTGCGAAAAGACAAAATGAGATACTTTAAAAAATGAAAGGTGTATATATATAAATTGTGTACAAAACTAGTTCACCATTTACTGAATTTTTCCATTAAATCTTGAAGTTTCATCGTGTAAAATATTAAATTTTCTTCAATTTTGGTTACAGTTTTCTTTATCAAAGTGATACCATTAATCGATGAGAAATTCGGTTACAACTATGATATCCTATACAATCTAGACAAATTTAGCCAATGTTGTCTGAACATCACTCAAGCCATCACTCGAACCCTCTTGTCCACCTTGTGCATGCTCTGGTTCTAGCTACTTCTATGATGAGTTTGTAAACTAACAGTTATAGAGTATATATATATCATGGGAAAACCAATGTCCACCAGAATATTGTACAAAAAAAATTAAAATGAGGAAAGATAAAACTATGTCTTAGACTCTTAGTATAGAAGTAAATAGTACTTGTATAGTTGTATATTTCATTCAATATTGTAAGGTACTGTAGACAAGATCTTGAATTCTAAAACAAATGAATTCATTGCCAAACAATTATTACACAAAACAAAACCAAACTATACTGTAAAACATATGTATATGTGAAAGCAACTAAATAATTCCTAGTTGCTCTCTTGATTTAGCCAAATGATAAGAGTTGGCGGGTTGCTACAATGGGAAAAAACAAGCATTGAGCACACCTCTGCCAACCTTAGTCCTGGCTTAAACCCAAACGATACACTATAATGCAAACGCGCTCCATATTGTTACTTGAACTGTATACTACTCGAAAATGTCTGTCCAAATCTCCAATTAGCAGGAATAACGTTGTTAAATGTTTGAGTTTGGCCACCAGTAGTAGTGACTCTAAAGGACAGAGATTGTCCATTAAGGTAAGCTAAAGACTGCCAGTTAGCCCCCCAATTTCTAGACATCGCCATCCAGTTGGTTTTTGATCCCTTGATCGAAACAGATTGGATTGATCCTGCTCCACCTACATTGCTGATCAATACAAGCTCAAAGTAGTCCCTTCCATTGACAGTAAATCTCAAGCCTCCTTGCTTTATACAAGGAACCCTGTACATAATGAAAAACAATTCAGTATTTGGACGCATCATAAAATATATGCAACTACGTGTTTAGACTAAGATCAAATAGGCTAATAATTGTTCTTAATTACCTTTGGAAGATGACAGGAATGATTCCACCTCTGTAAATGCCAATCTTCTCCCAGATGGGTTGTGCCATGTCAAAGTGTTGGCGAGGAGGATTACACCATCCTCCAGCATTGTTAGGCAATGCATAGTTTGGAGGGCAGAAGTTAGTTGCAGTAATAGTTACCGAAGCTCCCTTCCTACACCATGTTGGATCCGTGTTATAGTCACACATGATCCTGTAGCATTGCCCACATGCCGCACCATTGTTGAACAATGCAGTACTTAGAGCCGCGGTGCTAGTCCCATACCCAGTAGAGTACAAGTTGCCATACCCACATGCTCCTCCTACATAACAATAACAAATTAAAAATTAGTCTTATATTGCTTCGATTTGTTTTGTCACAATCTATATTTGCCAAAGTTAATGATATGTAAATCGATTAAATGAAGGGACAAAAACATACCCATAGTTCCAGAAGCATCACTACCGCCATAGAAAGTGGCATGAGCCTTTTGCCACCCAGAAGCCACAAAAGCATCTACATTAATATTTAGGATACACAATACTAGAAAAACAGTAGATATGGCTAAGGCTGATTTGCTCATTTTATTTTTTAGTTCAAAAACAGAGAAAAAGGAAGTTAAGAATAATGAAGGGGGTTTGTGATAGAGAATGTTGTTGTATTTGATGAAATAAACGGACAAGTAATGCTTCCTTATAAACGCATGGAGTAGGTGTATCGCTCTCTAATTTCAAGCCATTTGCAACCACCTCACAAGGAACGAATATTGTACGTATGAGAGAGAACATTTATAAAATTGCAATGTTTAACAAATACCAAGTCAAACCCCAAATTTGGAGTATTTTTTCAAATAATTAAGTCTTATCTTAAGATTTTTGGTGTAACATCTTAAATTTTAACTTTGGAGGCGGTTTTCGGTTTATCTATCCTCGAAATTGTCCTAATATACTCTATACCATACAACAATTGTATTCCATCCGTTTTTTTTAAAGTGTCGCACTTTCCTTTCACGGCTAGTTTTTTTTATGTGTTATTACACTTCCTTTTTTGCAACCTATTCAATTTCAATACTACTCAATTCTCACTCCTCTAATAGTGTCCACTCAAACACATTACTATTTAATTATTTCTTATCCTCTTACATCTCTCATGTTTCAATTAATTAACCTCACTATCTTTTTTAAACTCCGTAATTTTTTAATACCTACATCACTAACATTTTTTTTATAATTAAGGCAATTAAGTTATCTAAAATTATGTACCGCTCAAAGTGTAACACTTAAAGAAAATAGGAGGGAGTACACAAAATTTTGCCAAACCTGTTGTAAACATTAAAACAAATGGCCAATTTGTTCCATAGAATACGTGATCATGTTATGGTAGAACTCTTGAAATCCGGCTATTGAGTCGGGTCATATCATGCTCATAAATATTATTGTTATCAAACATTATTCTACGTTACCAAACTGTACTTCCTGTTTGTTATCATTACAAATTATATGCATTATTAATTTATTATTGATACGTCCTGCGTCGTACCAAAATATTGAAGAAAAATTTATTAAAGCTTATCTTATTTGTACAAATTGCCCTATCATTCTATCAACCCTAATTTATGGTGATTAATAGTCTTTAATATTAAAAAATAATTACATAATCTAAGATTTTTGGTCAACGTTGCCGAGTTGGTGATTATGAAATTTATTAAGATGAATAGATGATTAATAAACATGCATTGTAATTTGTATACCGCCATGAAAACCAAAACGAACATGGCCTTATGGTGTGATATTTAATTTGAATTAATATTAATTATATTATATTATATTAGTGGATGTTGAGCCTTGGAAACGTTCAGCATTCACACTAGCACCTATATTTTCACGTACTTTCTCCATGCATATTATCTACATTTTTTATGGTTATTTGAATATAAAGAAAATAATACGGATTAGTTATGTTGAATCTCGATAAATTTGTTTCAACATTCATTTTTAAAATATCTAACTAATTTTTACTTCTATTTTTTTGCTACGTAACAATTAATCATATTAACGATAAAAAAAATGTGCATTAGAAAATTTGTCAACAAATAATGAAATTGAAGTATGACTTATTAGCAATTCGCAAGCTTCAACGATCTCTTTCAAAACAAACTTTTAAATTAACCAAATGGGCAATATTGTACATCCGTCGTAAACTAAAACCTTAAATGAAACGTTATGTCACTCCAACCATATCATATCATATTATATATCACTAAAAAAATAAAGTCGGTCTCCCAGCCAGACCACGAGACAGCGACACTTGGTATTCAAGTTTTTCACCAAGTGTCGAGCCACGTAGGCGACAAATAGATGTTATTGTGATTAGATTAGATGCCACGTTATATTAGATTGGATAGATTTGTTTAGGATATAAAAGCATACATAAAATAATTTATAATTCTTTTGGAAAAATTTATCTTTTTTTATTGACAATAGAATTTTACTTATAGCAACAGACCACATGTTATAATTAACTAGTACGTACCCCGGGCGATGCCCCGGGTTTCCTCCACAATATATATCCTTATGTTTTAAAAATCCTTACATTAATTGGCTAATTATAAAATAATTATAAAGTAATAATTTTATTCACAAAGGCATTATCACTAATGTCTACATCTCTCCACGTTTGAAATATTTGTTGCTTTAAATGTTCATAATTAAATGAGTAATTTAATTTTACGGTTTCATTGACATTTAACAATTTGAACTCCTATCTTAAAAAAAAAAAAAAAAAAAAAAAAAAAAAAAAAAAAAAATTGAACTCCTAGACTTATTCAAAACCCTTAGTTCGAAAGTAAGTTTTCGAGTCCTAGACTCTTAGGATTATTTTTTTTGAAAGACGATTGCCTATTTGGAATTTTAATTTTGCTGGCGATACCCGGTTAGTTTATTGAATTTTAAAATAAAATTTTTATCTATATGTCAAATTTTAAAACATATCATTGATATAAACATTGTTATGTAAGAGATGTATACCCCTTTTGATTTATGATATTTTGACGAAAAATACCATTGATTTTTGTGAGAGCGCGCAATATATATAATAGAAATATACACTGTATATGAGAAAAATGATACAAAAATTCTCTCTTAGATGAATTCTAATTGATTAATCCGATCCAATGTCCTTAAAAAAATAAAAATAAAAAATCTAATCCAATGTTGCATAATAGTATCTAAAAGTATATTGCAAGCTATAATCTTTATTGTACGTACTTCAACTACTAATTGTACGGAGTATAGTAAAATAAACCTTTATCACTAAACTTATGGGCTAATTCCACCAATTTTTTATTTTTTAGTTTTTATTTTGTTTTGAGGAATTTTTTTAATTACTCACTTATGTCATAATTTAGGAAACCTATGGGCTAAATATAGATTTATTGAAAGTTATAATTATTGAAAGGTATAAAATATTGGTATTTTATTAAAAATAAAACTCTAAACCAATAATTTTATCCTAAAAATCTTTCCAAATTTTATTGAATATAAAACTCTAACCTAACTTTTTTATCTTACAAAATCTATCTAAATCTTTCCAATATTTTTATCCTACGTGTCATATTAATAATTTATTGTTGTCTACGTGGCGTGACACTTGGCGAAAAGTTAAAACGCCAAGTGTTGTTATCTTGTGGCCTAGCTAAAAGTTTAGCTTTACCCTTTTGATAATGCAGGATATTTAGACATACGATATCCTATTGCTTATTTATAGAATAGTGTACTTTTTGTAATTTTATTTGTAAACAGATATCTACGTTATTATTGGCTTGAAATTATTGTTATTGAACTTAAATTATTTTTACTAAACTAAAAGTATATTTACCAAATTAAAATTTTTTTTACTGGTTAAAACTTATTTTTGTTGATTATCTATTATTGTTTTTACTAAATTAAATATTATAATTAAATATTTCTTTCTAAAAAAAAATTTAAGTTAGCTTCAAAACTTGATATTTAAAAGCAACAATAACTAAAAGCTAATTTTATCGGAAAAAAAAAGATAGATAATTTCAATTTTCATATATATGAATTTGACCGAATCAAAAAAAGAAAGATTTGTTACATATTAATAATTTCAGTTATTGATCTACTAAATAAATCAACTTGCAAAATTAATTTTACGTTAGTTGGTATTGTTTGTAAAGATCTCAATGGCATTCACCCAAATCATCCACAAACAATAATCGGGAAGATATAGGATGTTGCATGTAATGGTGTGTACAAAACTACAAATTCACCCAAATCAAGTCTTTTACAAATTCTATCGTCTAGTTTTGTGCTTGGACGATGTTCAAAGGGTTGATAAAAGTTTAAGATTGGATTGAATATTTAATGCGGTCATATAATCCCTTTGATAATGCATGATATTTAGACATACTGAACTGAAATTACATTTTATTGAACTGAAAGTATTTTTACCAAAACTAAATTTTTTTTCCTTGTTAAAACTTATTTTCACTGATTTTCTATTATTTTTGTAAATAAATTAAATATATTATAAATGAATCTTATTTTAAAGAACTTTTTAAGAAAATTTTTATGATGGAAATAGTACCTAGTTATAGGATATTTATTAAAAGTTATGATTAATTATATACTAGTTTAGTTCCCGTGTGATGCATGGTTTTAAACAAACATATTGTGAGATTTGTTTATAATATGGAAAAAGAAATTTTTCTACTTTGTTAATTTTTTTGTATACATGATAAGTAATTTCTACTACAACATATTACTTGTAAAATATACAAAAAAAAAAAAAAAAAAAAAATCACATTGAACATTTTTTAACATTGAAATATTAACATACTAATAAAAAAGAAAGGAGTCAGTAGAGACAAAGGATAAATCATATGAAAGGTTTATTAGATAAACAAAGATAGGTAAAAGTTAAAAAAAAAAAAAAACACTAATGACATCATCATAGTAAATTGGCGGGAAAAAAATTTGTGTCAGAGTGATATGTGTACAATTTGGAGAATGCATGATGTAACGTTTTGTTTTTTAGTATTAGTTAATAGATATATGAAATATTAGAATGCCAAGTTTACTTAAAAATATATTCAAACTTCGCTTACTTAGCATCATACGTGCCACAATAATATCTATTTGTCGCCTACGTGGCTCGACACTTGGCAAAAAACAAGAATGCCAAGTTTCGCTGTCTCGTGGCCTGGCTGCGAGACCTGCTTTATTTATTAGTGATATATGATATGATATGAATATCCAATTAACAATAGAATTTTTCTCCTATACGAATAACACGTAATTATAATTATATATATGACCATGTATTATTAATTTTTTATATCTAACAATTAAAATAATAATAATAATAATAATAATAATATTATTATTATTATTATTATTATTATTATTATTATTATTATTATACAAAACATGTCCATAAAGAAGTAGACCCTCTAAAATGGGTATTTGGAACAACATTTGGAGCACATACTAGTATATAAATTAAAGTTATATATTATTTTTGTTTCTTGGTGATAAAGTACATTGCTATCTTTTAAAAGTTTAAAAATCAAATTTTAATGTAGGAAGTAATCATATACTCACTCTGTTCCTATTTTTTTTTTTTTTTTTTTGTCCTTTTCCAATTTTCAAATAATTGGGTTAAACTTTAAAATCTTTGATATTAAATTCTCATTAAATTATAAGAGATAATATATTTCAGTGGGATCTTTTTGATTCGTGTCATTGTATAT